ATTGAGTTTTCCTCCTCTCAGATGACTTTAGCTTGTGTCAAGTTGACATAAACCCATCCAGCACACCCCCTCAGTCCATTCTGCTTTTGTCTAGACTGCTATAATCTTGACTGCAATCTTGTTTCCTCTTGGATCTGCCCTGTCTTTGAAAACTCTGATTTCATCTGTTTGGCCAGCACACTTAGCTCCTGTGTTTGCTCAAGAACTAAGCTAACCTCACTCATTGCTTTCCCGAGTGTCAACACTTCCCTGTTTTTCTAGTTCATTGGCCACATGCTGCAGATTAGATGGGTCCTAGGGTTTAATGATACTTAATGTTGTGAGAGCCAAAGGTTGTAAAAGAATTGAGGCATAATGTAGTAAAACATAAATAAATAGGTAAACAAACAAACAAATAACCAAATACAGAACTGTAAACGACAAGCCCCTCACAGCAGCTTCCCAAAGCTGTCTTAGGGGAAGATCCATTCATACACCCTCCTGCTTTAGCGTGGACTAGATTAACCCGGATGTTTCCCAGACACCACAAAGACTGGTGGCTGCCCTGATCTCGTGTTAGGATAAAAGTATGTGCTCACGTGCGCCCACGTGAACTAGCGAGTAGTCTCATGAGAAGCACCACAAAGTGGCAGAAAGCCACAGCCGGATGGATGACCTTCGTTTTGACTTGATTGATACTGGCCTGGCCAGGTCACTGATTCCCTGGCCTTGACCCTTTCTCTGTGAAGCGCATCAGGGAGACGCAACGACTGTCCTTATACAGCTGGGACACAAGTTCTGCTTCCTCACACAGCTAATTCCACTGAAATCCCTCATGCTGTTGGAGGGCTCTGATGAAACACAGACGTGCAATTTCTACACACGGGGAAGCTCCCCGGGCCATGCTGGACAGTCTGCTTGGGCTGTGTCCTTCCGCTGACATGAGGCCTAAGAACAAAGTCCTTGAAGATGGGAACAACAGGGAGTTAGCACCCGCCATGGGGGCAGTGAGGATCAGAGCCTCGACGGGGATGGCACAGCCTTGAGGGGGTGGACACAGCTTTGATGGGAATGGGCACAGCCTCGACGGGGATGGCACAGCCTCAACAGGAATGGGCACAGCCTCTTCTGTATCTACTAGAGGCCCTTCTCTCTTTCACTCTGCCATGGATAAACCCCCCTGTGCAATGACAGCCTCCTGCCGAGGAAGGGTCTGGCTTGCAGAAACTGCTAGAACGTGAGTGACATAATTGTACAGTACCCTCGTGTCTGCCTCTCACACGCACTTGCCCTCGGTGTGAGAGAAGAACACTGGAGCATGGAGAGGCACTGTGTCCGGCTGACTTAATGCACAGGACTGGGTGTAAACACAGAATAGTTTTGTTCTCATTACTGTGCTTCTAATCATGTTTGGAGCCTGTCACCACACTGTAACTTGCCAATACTGTGAGTCGAATCTGTCAAACTCACACGCTAGTCTTTGGTCTCAAAAGTGATTTCCTTCCAAGTTTTGTGTCAATGTGACATGTATCTAGTTAAGAGATTGCATCTGAGGAAATCCAGGCAGGTGAACAGACACAACAGAATTGTTTGAATATACATATATATATTATATATATTATAAACTCAGGGTTTTTCCCACTGGTTTAGATTTGCTTCCCTAAAAGCAACGAGGTCCAATTTCGGTAGGCGGCACAAACCTGAGAGCTGAAAAGTTGGGAGCTAACCGATGGATCATAAAATGCTGAATTTTCATGAACGACTCTTACAGGAGCATCATGTATAGCCAGGGCGGTGGGTATGGCAGCAGAGGGCTCATGCAGGGCTTTCTAAGATGCCAGCGACTTTTCATCTTCTACAGAGTCAGCTGGTGGAGGTGCCAGCGTGCTGTGGCGGGTGCCCAGGATGCTGGGGAAGGGGTTTTGTGAGGAAGCTCAACTGTGTGCGTTTTAGTTCTTGAGGTATTGTGACCTCTAGCTGCTACGGGGAGATGTTGGGATACGAATGTCTTCGCACACTGTCTAGTCACCTTTTTTCCCTGTAGGGGAATGAATCTGTTAGCTTTGTTGTTAGATTCCAGGAACTGGACAGGCCTGGAGTGAGCTTCCTTCTCACACAGGACTCCACAACAGGCATGGCCTTAAGAGGGGCACAGTGAGGCCCAACCAGGACGCAACAGTTATGGTCAGTGTGTAGCGGACGTGGTGCACCCACACTGCCCTTCCACGGCACAGACCATGGGGAAGGTGGCTTCTGGTGGGCACACTCATAGCAATATTTGGACCTTAAATGATCTCCTACCACTTTTAAAATTTGAAAATTTACCCATTTCAGTCTTTTTAAAACTTTAATTAAAAACTTGTTTTGCTGTGTGTGGTATTGCATACTTGTGCGGAGTCCAGAGACTGTTGTTTGTGTCTGTCCTTGATTGCTGTTCACCTGATTGCTTTGCGACCGGGTCTCTCAGTGAACCTGAGGCTCAATGATTAATCGTCTACACTGGTTGGTCAACAAGCTTTGGAGATCTGCCTGTTTTGCCCCCACTCCCTCCTAGACTATAGTTACATGCCCACACTTCTGTGTATGGCCTCTAACATGGGCTCTAACATGGGCTCTGAGGATTCGAATGCAGTTCTTCAAGCTTGCAAGGCAGGCACCTCACTGAACCATCTCCCTACCTGAAAATGGCATTCTGAAAGCAAATAATCGATTTATTCCATAGATTGATACAAAAACAACACTAATGGTGATGTGGGATTCCCCTTTGTATGCTGTGAATACCATTGGTTAATAAGGAAGCTGCTTTGGGCCTATTACAATGCAGAGCAGTGCAAGGCAGGAGTTCCAAGCAGATAGAGGAGGAGAGAGTGGATGGAGTCCGGGAGATACCTTGTAGCTGCCACAGGAGACAGACTCACTGGAGCCTTGCTGGTAAACCACAAGCCTCGTGGTAAAATATAAAATAATGGAAATGGGTTAATTTAAGATAGAAGAGCTAGCTAAAGAAGATGTCTAAGCTATTCGCCAAGCAGTGGTTTAGTTAATAAAGTTTCTGTGTGGTTATTTCAGGTCAGGGCAGCTGGGAAACAAATGAGCAGCCTCTGCCAACATAATGCCAGGCAAAATAAGCTCAACTCCAGGTGCCAGAAAGAGTGAAGTTGAGTTTGACACCTTCCCACTTGGTGGCTGGAAGTCCCAGGGCTACTGAGGGTGCCACCACGTCTCCTGAATGCACCTCTGGAATATCCCACCCTGGAACAATGCAGGGAACATTTTTCATTCAGCCAATAAACTAAAGCGCGTGACCGGGCTTTGCATCTGCATCCTTTTCTCCCGAAAGCATGGGTTGGAAGAGGAGCTTGTCTAGAGACTGTCCTCCTCAGGATCTGGGGAACAGTTTGTGTCCTGAGTCTTCAAGATCCACAGCTGAAGGAACGCCATAACCAACAGCCACAGGCGCAAAGACGGTGAGCCAAAAGTCAGTGTTCAGGGTGGGGAAGTCCATACGCTTACTGCCACCTAGAATCTACTGATCACATCTGCTTTGGAGGAACTTTTGTTATTCATGTAGCACAAATAATAAAAACCCAGAGTCAGACATTGGGGTTCAACCCCAAAGCCAGAAAAGCAAAGCAGCCAAGCCACTAGAGAAGTTTTATCTCTACCAATGCTGGGTGACTACAGACCAAGTATCCTAAGCCTCTGTCTCCTCTCATTTTATATTCCCTCTAGTACTGGGATTAAAGGTGTAGGCTACCACACTTGGATTTGTTTCTGCATTGATCTTAGCCCAGAGTGACCTTGAATTTACAGAGATCCATTTGCCCCTGTCTCCCAAATCCTGGGATTAAAGGTGTGTGCCACCACTGTCTGACCTCTAGGGCGGGGCTTAGCTTTGTCCTTCTGATCTTTAAGCAAAATTTATTTATTAAAACATAAATAAAATATCACTATTTAGCACGCAAATCACTCTTAGTATCTCGTCCTTTTAACACAGCAGCTGTTTTGTGTATGTGGGGAGAGTAAGAAAAGAAGGCTGGGAGGTAGCTGAGTTGGTAGCGTGCTTGCCTAGTAATCATGTTTCAATGCCCCAGTTCTGAATACACAGGCAAAGTGATGCGTGTCTGTAATTCTAGCACTTGGGAGTTGGAGGCATGAAGATTAGGCGTTCAAGGCTAGTCTCACCTACGTAGTGAGGTTGAGGCCAGCTGGGAATACATGAGACCCTGTCTCCAAAGAAGAACTGATGAGAGGCAAACTGACAATACTGGCTCTGTTTGGTTGGTCCCCCTGGCCTTTGAGATGAGTTTTTCCTGGGTCCCCAAGCATCTTTGAACAACAAGAAGCCCAAACAGTCCAAGTAATTGCACGGAATCAGCCAAGAAACTGGCACTCCCTTTATAGTTGGAAAACTAGAGTGGCAACATTTGAGGATGGCTAGGCATTTAGCCATGCTTCTGGTATGTTCTAGACAGCTCCCTGGACCTGTCAGTCAGGTGTTTATAATACGGGGCTCCTAAGATATGCCTCCATCTTGTAAAATGCCGCCCCTGACATGTGTTTTGGTATTGGCAGTGTCTGAAATAAGAATACATTTCATACAGATGAAAAACTTCCAGTGGGGCCGGAGAGCTGGCTCCGTGGTTAAAAGTACTGACTACCCTTCCAGAGGACCTGGGCACGATTCTCAGCACCTTCGTGGCAGCTCACAACTATCTGTGAGTCCAGTTCCTGGAGAGTTGATGCCCTGTAATGATTTCTGAAGGCACCAGGCATGCATGTGAGGCACAGACATACACAGGCAAACATCTATATACATGAAAAGATACAGAGAGACAGACAGACAGGCAGAAAGGAAGGAAAACAGAAAGAAAGAAAGAAAGAAAGAAAGAAAGAAAGAAAGAAAGAAAGAAAGAAAGAAAGAAGGAAAGGAAGGAAGGAAGGAAAGGAAAGGAGGAAGAAGGAAAGAAAGGCTTCCAGTAGAAGGTTAGCTCACAATGATTGATCCTGGAGGCCGGCTATCAGGTATGCATGGTTTTATTTAAAATGTGTCCAATAGGATTTTCCACTTGGAATGAACATTTTACCTCTTTCTGCATGTTCTCATAAACATCTCCTCATTTCATGGAGTTTCTTAGGAATTTCTAGGTAATTTAACAGAAGAGCAAAATGAAAGTGTGGGGAAGATTAAATCACAGGAGTTCACACCGCGGTGAGGGTACTCCTGCCTCAACCTCGGGGACGCACAAGTGACTAGCGGGTGAAGTAACAGACCAGGTCATGCAAGTCCTCCTTGAGTCACTTGGTCCCTTGGCAGTTCCGGTGTCTCCTGTCACTAGCACGGAAGACAAAATGAGTCCGATGACCTCAGCAAATGGGCAATTGTCTTGTGGTGGCTGAGAGGAGATGGATGCAGACGCCCTGTCACTGAGCATTCCCTAATGTCTGAAGAGAATGTTCCTTCTGGCCCGTCTGCTGCTCTGAGCCCCAGGGGGGTGCGTGCACCTTATGTCCTGAACCTCCCTGGTGGCCGCAGCACCCCCTGCCTCTCATCAAATGGCACTGGTTTATCTGTGAACAGCAGCACAGCACAAGATAAGCAAGGGAGCACATTGTAATCGAGAGGGCAGTTGTAGTTTTAAGTCAGCGCTAGAGCCTGGCAATGTTAGATTTGTGTTTTCATGAGCCAAAGGTCATAGCATGAATGAGGTCTAAATATCATCACAGCAGACCACAGGCCACAGAAAGAAAGATATGTCTTCAAGTTATGTCGATCTGCCAAGAAGAGAAACAGATACAGAGTACAGCGAACAGGAGCCAGGGGGGGCCGGTGGTGTGTGGTGCTCCTGACTTGGGAACAGAGCCTTGTACATGGAAATGAAGTGGGCGGGGCTTTGAGATTCCCGCCGGCTGCTCAGAGCTGCTGTCATGGAAAGAAGCTAAGGGCAATGCGACTGGTGGGTGGGGGGGGGGGTGGGGGGGCTGGGAAACATCACCATCTCGACCTTTGTTCTAAAGTGACTTAGAGACGGTCATTTATTATGGAAACATAATCCCGAACAATTTGCTCTTTCTCTCCGTAAACACATCAGTTCATAAATAACTTAAGCGTGCCCTCTGCATTCAGGACACAGTTCTGGCTGGAGTAGAAAAGGGTAGAGGACGCGCAGCGATGGGAGACGATGGCAGGGTGGAGTGTGGACGGGCGGCTCAAGCGGCTAGGGTGCGTGCAGGCATCAGCCATCAGACACGGGAGGGGTGACCCAGCCGTACTTCTCGTGAGTCTTCACCAAACTCTTGAAGGTTGCTTCGGCTTCCTTGCGGCTGAAGGACTTTTTTGACTTGCCAGCTTTTCTGCAGATCCGTCCCTGCGTGAGATGGAAAGAGACACCAGGTTAGAGGCTCAGCCAAGGACCCGTCTCCTCATAGGGTCGCTAAAGGGACATACGGAGGCGGGTGTAGTTCTGAATCTAGATGTGTTGACCACCAGCAAGGATGATGGGACACTCTTGCGGAGCAGATATGGAGGGTTACAGCTTTGATAAAGAGCACACTGGGGAGCCACGTACTATAAACATTTTGGGGTGCAGGCGCTATTTTCCCAAGCCACAGCCTCAGCTTTATTCAAACTGGTTCAATCTGTGAGACTGGAAGGCAGCTTCCCTGCATTCCTGAGATGCAGCTCTCCCTTAGGAGAGGAGCCTTCTTGCCCGAAAGCTTCAAGTCTAATTTCTGGGTTTGCTTTGATAGGCATGGAAATCAATACATTTATACATAGATGTGTATATTATGTGTCCACAGTGCAATTAAAGTGAATTTTAAAATCCAAGCTTGAAAGCTATTACAGCACTCCAAGCAGTTCATACAGCTTGGGAGGCAGGTAGGGGTCAGAGGTCAGAACCGTGTGTGTGCTGAAGCTGAAGACCAGGTTGTGCAGTGGACCAGAGGACCTGGTCCATCTTAAGGTGGCTGAGAAGAAGCTGGGCGTGTTTTGGTATGTGACAACATGTTCTCATCTACAGAGTTCATTCTTCAAAACCACATAACTGAGTAACAAAAAGAATGCAAAAAATCACATTTTTTTAAAAAAAAGTCTTCATTCTTTTTTAAAAAAGATTTTTTTTTATTTATTATGTATACAGAGTTCTGCCTGTATGTCTGGCTGCAGGCCAGAAGAGGGCACCAGATATCACTATGGATGGTTGTGAGCCACCATGTTGTTGCTAGAAATTGAACTCAGGACCTGTGGAAGAACAGTCAGTGCTCTCAACCGCTGAGCCACCTCTACAGCCCCCAAATCCCATCATGTTTTCAGTAAGTTTATACTTTGGTGTTGGGCTAAATTCATAGCTACCCTCAGCCACATGCAGCCTGAAAGCAGAGGGGTGGACATGCCTGCTAGACCTTGAGAGGCGAGAAAAGAGGTGTCACAATGGAAACAGACGACACCTGAGAGCCTGTGGCTTGTCATCAGAAGAGGAATGGCAGTGGGCCCTTACTGGATAGCCGGCTGTGGCTCTTAGTCACCTAGCCTTTTAAGTGCCTGCTCACCTGAACTGGCCCCTTTGGCGTTGTGGACATACTTGTTCACTCCTAACCAGGGTCATGCTTTCCTGGAGTTTAGGTCTCTTTGAGTAATCATGTACAACCATGTACAACCACGTACATGTCCTACACAGATGGGGCCCAGACACCCAGAGACACAGCTGCCTTCAATCAGCCAGCAAGCGCCTGCATCTGGTTGCCCACTACTTCTCAGTTACTCAGTAGGTTCTCTGCATTCTGGGACACTTCACACGGACGTCACAGCACAACTGTGTGCATATACTAGACCTTGAACTGGATTCAGGTCTCTAGGTTCCACCGCCACCCACGCACTGAGGGTGGGATCTACCCAGGCTATGGGACTGGAGGCTGCAAGCTTGCTGCCACCCTAGCTCTCTCCGATAAACCAAGTGAGAGAGGCTGGATTGGCTCCTGAATCATTGGCCGGTGGTGCTGGATCCCAGAAACCTGATTATGGAAGAGCAGCTTGCAGGTGTGAACTCAGAACTCACATTTCCAGTCCACGGAGGCCTTCTTATCCACAAGGCAGAAACCCAGGGAGGGTTGCTCTGCATGTCCAGTGGCCCTCTGCCTTCCTGCTCCCTCCCTGCTCTCCGGGACACTTGACACCCTTATAAAGGCTCCCAGTCAGAACAAGTGAGCTTTCAAAGGGAGAAAGAGGACCTGAGGGGAGGGGAGGGGAGGCAGCAGCTGCCTGATGACAGTAATGATGTCCCCGAGTCTCGCCAGGGCATGAGCCCCATCTTTAATTATTTACTTCCATATTTTATGAAGGGTGGTTATACCTTATAACAAGGGGTCACCAAGATTTAGAACTCGCACAGCCGTTGCTGAGGTCAAAGTCCAAAGCTTTGGCATCAGATGTAGAGGAAGGGGTCTGTGTAGGGATGTTGGTTTATATGTCCACGAGAGCAGATGGTTTTGGATAATGTATTTTATTCCTTTGTACCATACTGTTGACTGATGGTATGGCTGAGAATTCAGAATTAAAGGATCCAGACAAACAGGCTTGCAATGATTCTGGAATATTCAGTGGCTTTGTCAGGAACATAAGCTTTGCCTATTCTTTGTCCAAGTCCCTACTGCTACGAGATTCAACCAACAACCCCTACTGGGACAAGTGGCCCTTTGTTGCTTTTTTTTTTTTCCTTCCCAGGAGGATCATGAACATAGAGTCTAGTGCGAAGTCAATTTGATGGCAGGACAGAGGCTGCCAGGAGCCGGCAGCTCAGTGTCTTCTCCCCACTGAGCTAGTCAGCAAGAGGTCCTCAGCCCTGCAGTGAGCACACACCGCCTGCCCGCTTCAAATGGGCTGCTTCAGGATCACACAGGTCAGCGTTAGCTTTTGAAAGGAGCATTTCTTTTCCCAGTCCTGCCAGGGGGCCGAGTTGTTCTCACTGATGTGTCTGTCCTGCAGTGCCACGAGACAAGGAGAGGACGCCCCTCTCCCACACGTCCTGTGGCCACTGCCGAGCCCGTAAGGGAGTTTCCAGATTACATTGGCCGAGTGGTAAGACTCACAATGAATGTGGCTGGCAACATTCTATGAGTTGGGGTCCCTGACTAAGAGGAGAAGGCCAGCCGAGCACCCGGCATTCATTTTTCCCTGCTTCTTCACGGAGCGCTGGATGTGGCGCTGCCCGACGCTCCTATTGGCCTGATTCCCTGCGGTGACAGGCTGGACCCCAGATTTGTGAGCTCAGATAACCCGCCTCCCCTTACATTACCTTTGTCAGGACTTCAGTAGTAGTAAGAAGAAAAGTTAAGCACTTGTTCCCGATTCACAGAGACAAGGAATGAACTGGAAACAATGAGGTCCGGCTGCCTTCTGCTCAGAGCATCCATGGTCCCTGTCTGTTTCCATGCAGTAACCAGAGTCTAGTCTGAGATACTTCTCTGAGTCACTCTCATTTCTCCTTGACTATCTTTACTTGTATTTACGAGAAAAGACTTGTAGGTGACAATCTTCCTCCTTCTTGATGAGAGCTAAGGGGTCATTCTCCAGAGTTTATGACAACTTTCTTGGTGTCCTTTCCCTCTCTGGAGCTGTTCTTTGATGAGGGGTAATTGTCTGTATTATGTCAATCATGTTTTAAATAAATGCTGATTGGCCAGGCAGGAAGTAGAGGTGGAGCAAAGAGAACAGGAGTATTCTGGGAAGCAAGAAGCTTCCCCTGGATTCCTGCCCAGACCACAGAGAAGCAAGATGTAACCTGCCCCACTGGAAAAGGTACTGAGCCAAGTGGCTAACATAGATAAGAATAATGGGTTAATATAAGCTACAAGAGCTAATAAGTAGCCTGAACTAACTAATGGGCCAATCAGTTTTATAACTTATGGAGATCTCTGTGTGATTTTCTTTGTGGCTTGCTGGCTTGTTGGGGTACCGGGTGGGACAGAAACCCCAACAAGCCAGTCCTCATGTTGCACAGGTTGTTAAGGGGGCACCAGGGAGACATATGCTTAAAGGCTCAGCCCAACAGAGATGAAAAAGAGGATTAATAAGAACACAGGAGCTGGGCCTGCACCTGTGACACAAACCATCAGGGGTGCCTTTGGTTTGATCTTGCTTTGCCAGAGACTTTAAAAAAGTGTGTGTGTGTGTGTGTGTGTGTGTGTGTGTGTGTATGAGAGAGAGAGAGAGAGAGAGAGAGAGAGAGAGTCTCGTGTTTGACCATGAAGACATCCCCATGTCTTAGCAGCTAACAGGCTAACAGGTGAATCCCAAGACTGGTCCTCTCTGACTCTGCACACTTCCCACTGTAACCACCTACACGCTGACCTTCAGTTGTCAGAGTCGCCCTCAGCTGCCTTGTGACTTCATTCATTCCATGTGTTGGGCACTGGCTTAGGAAACACCAAGTGATGCTGCCTTTGGGAGCTGTGGGACCATCACGTGGACACGATGAGGGTGCAAGTGTGCTGTGGTTTTGTTGGCAGTAGTGACACTCGGCTGGGGTACGTCTGCTTGTCGGTTATCCTATACAGAGTATGTATACGCGTTGTGTCTAGCTTCATTCTGTTAGGTGCTTGGTACGACCGTGTACTTGTCCAGGCGATGTCGAATGTCTTGGAAGAACAGTCACTACCAACTGATATGCGGATGCGGCTTAGGGTCAAGCAAAGGGGCTGGGCCTATCCTTGCCATTCAGCAGATACACGTGGCCTCGTCCGTCCCTGGAGTGGGAACAGTGCTGGCTGCTGGGGCGAATCAGATCCTAAACGTCTTCCAGCCCAGCTTTGTCAAAGGAGAAGGGAAGGAAAGGTGTGGGGCTGGGGAGGTTAAGGCTAGGCTCGCAACTGAAGACACAAGAGGAAGGGTGGGATGGGCGGTTCCTGTGTCCCCAGAGTTTTTTCTTGGTGGTGCTGGGATTAGCTTTTAAATGTAGCCCCAAGTAAAAGCTTAAAATAGACTGCTGCACTCTGGGAGCCACGGCCAGATGCTCTGTGGGCTCACACAGGGAATTTTTAGGCTGTGTGGTGCACGCACACACACGTGTGTGTACACTTACGCAGGCGTACGTGCACCGCGTGGGGGAGGAGCAGAATTCAACTGATTTGCTTTTGAAACCTCATTCCGGCACTCCCTGTATGTGTGGCTGTGGACAAGCGGCTGGCTCTCGGTTTCACTGCTGGTAAAAGAAGCACGGCCGGACTTCCGAAAGGATTGGACACGGAAAGCAGTGACCGGGTTGCTATTGTCACGTAATCATGTTGTCCATGTCCTTTAAGGCAATGCCAGTTTGTATTCTTTTAAAAAAGTCACGGAAATACTGCCTTTGGACGTGGATATTGTGACTTA